TCAACTGCAGATAAGAGGAGAAACAGCTGTAGGATGGCCTGCCAATCATGCCTGCTCCAACCACTGGGCCTCCGAGGATCCAGGAAATTTTACAAAAGCCATAATGAGTAACAATAACAGAATAAGAACAAGAGGTTTGTTCCCACACACATTATGAAACAGGAAAGAGTACTAGTTCTCAACCAGAAACTTCCAGGATCCTGATATCCCACTTCCAGGTTTCTAAGCTACTTTAGTGTTGTCTGTCATCCTTTGTACTCACTCACTGCTTATACACTGCGTGCTGTGGCACAAGCTGGTGCTCAAAAAATCCGTGCAAAAGCTGAGACCTGACCTAAAGAGTTCAGCTCCGTCATCGTTGCAAACTCTTTTTTGCGTGGCAGGATCAGTAACCCACGTCTACATAAAAAAATAAAGAGAAAGACAGTTATAAAACATGACACAGTGATGTGAGGCCCTTACTTCTGCAAAGCCCACTAGTTATTCAGCCGCTATTCAAGGGCTCGAAGATGTCATGCAGGTAGCACCCCTCAGCTTTTGGTCACAAGTTCAGAGCCCAGCCTCGCTGCCCAGCTGGTCTTGTGCTTTTCCTTCCTTATGTCTTAATTACAGTGACAGTCTTATGACTCCTTTCTTAAGTGTAGTTTTTTCTTTTATTATAAACTTACAAAAAAATTTCCTGAAGTGTTCAACAAGATGGCCGTATCTAACGTTACTCCCACTACCACTGTCACATTCATTAAAGGACTTGTCACTGAAATGGACTCATCTGTCTACTTGCATATTGTCTGCTTCCCTTACAGTGAACAGTCCACGACAGCAGAGACTTGTCTGCCTTTTTCACTGCAACATCCCCAGAGACAAGGCCAGTGCCTGCTCAGTGCTCCTTACTAAACGCCCAGTAAATGAATGAGTACGTTCTTAAACAGTCTTTAGAGTCAGAATATAAATATGTCTCAAGACACTGGTTTGTTCTGTGACTTTGAGAGTTTGTACAACATCACCCTGCTTTACACTCTCCAGTGAGTCAGCCGGAAAACAGGACCTCTTCCCTTCACTTGGAAACACTACTAAATGCCTTTTCTCCGTCACCCTTCTAATTTTATGCACTCATTGATAAGACTGCATTCACAGGTAGAACCTGGGAATATTTTGAGATGCTTTGAATTTCCCAAACAATGCCTCCTTGTTTCTCTCCCTGAATCTTACCACACTGAACTGAATCCGATAGCAGCTTCAAATCTGAGACCCAGAGGCAGCCCCAGAGGATAGCCTTCTGTCTCGGGTCTGAGTCACCTGAGGAATGCTTGGGCAACATCTCTGATTTCCCCTGCGCTGCAGCTCACACTCATTCCAAAAGAAAACAAAATCATCCTATTTCCCAAAGTCAAGTAAGAGGAAAAAGACAAAGAGTTACAGGGAATGTGATTAAGAAAATTATCATATTTATTGTTCTCTTCATTCTTAAATGGGAAGATGCAATCCTGGGAACTGAACGCTTATCTCACTCTCTGGAATGTGCTTTGCAACCACACAGCAGAAGGAAGTGATCCTGGTCTTTCCATTCTCTCTATTAATGTCTGCATAACTACCACCAGGAAAGCCTTCTCAGAAACCCAAAGCCAAGAGTAAGTACATGAGACTCCATGCCAGCAAATGCAGCAAAACAAACCTACTAAAATGGTGGAAATGCCTAACCTCAGGGCCACGCGCGAACTGTGCAAGGAAGTTTTGCATGTTACTATTCTCTTACAGAAACAATGTGTCTACAGCACATTTCTCTCCTTTTATAAAGAGCTGTCAGCATATATTTATATCCATTCATTAATTTATTCTTCGTTTACAAATTCATTTATTTCCAATACCTCTTCCCCCCACTTTAAAAAAAAATTTAAGACATTTGGGATTTCCAGTCAAGACGGCAGAATAGTAGGACCATGAGCTCACCTCCTCTCACAATTACAACAAAACCACAATTGACTGCTGAACAACCATCGAAAAAAGAGACTGGAACCTAGATAAAAGATCTTTTTCAACTGGAAACATAAAGAGGGAACCACAGTGGACAGTAGGAGGGGCGTCCTCACCATATGATTGGGCCCCATTACCCCTTAGGTGGGCAACCCACGAACTGGAGAATAATCAACTTGCAGAGGCCCTTCTACAGGAGTGAGAGACATTACAAAAATACACATATATATACACACACACACATATATCTATATTACAGGCCAATATCTTCGATGAATATAGACATAAAAATCCTCAAAATATTTGCAAATCGAGTTCAACAGTACATAAAGAGGATCATACACTACAATCAAGTTGGATTCATTTCAGGGTCCCAAATACAGTTCAGCACACACAAATCAATGTGATATACCACATCAACAAAAGAAAAAAAACACACGGTCATGGCAGTAGACACAGAAAAAGCATTTGATAAAATTCAACATCCATTCATGATAAAAGCTTTCAATAGAGCGGGTACACAGGGAACATGCCTCAGCGTAATGAAAGCCGCCTATGACAAGCCCACAGCCAGCACAGCACGCGACACTGTGACGCTGAAAGCCCCCCTGCTGAGCCTGAAACAAGGTAGGGGCGCCCGCTCTCAGCGCTGCTGTTCAGCACAGCATCCAGCACAGCATCGGGTGGCCCAGCCCGCAGCACGCAGGCAAGGAGACAAAAGGCTGAGGGTAGGGGATTGTATACGTGTGGGCGGGGAGGGCAATGTGCACACTCTATTTTCTGCTCAATTCTGTTGTGAACCTGAAACTGCTCTCAAAGAATAAAGTCTATTCAAAAAAAAAAGCAAGCAAGCTTCATGGGAGAAAAAAAAACGTATCCAAGTTGGAAGGGAAGAGGTAAAACTGTCATTATTTGCAGATGACATGATACACTATATAGAGCACCCTAAAGTCTCCACACAAAAACCATTAGAACTAGTACGTGAACTCAGCAAGGTAGCAGCACACAAGATTAATATACTGAAATCTGTTGCATTTCTTTACACTAAAAATGAAACATCAGAAAGAGAAGTAATATTTTAAAAAAACCTAGGAATAAATTTAATCAAGGAGGGGAAAGACCTATACACTGAAAACTATAAAACATTGATAAAGGAAATTAAAGGTGACTCAAACAAATGAAAATATATCCCTATGCTCTTGGATTAGAAGAATCAATATTGTTAAAATGGCCATACTACCCAAAGCAATCTACAAACCTAATGCAACCCCTATCAAGACACACATGATACTTTTCCCCAGAACTAGAATAATCCTAAAATTTATATGAAACCACAAAAGGCCCAGAATTGCCAAAGCAGTCCTGAGGAAAAAGAACAAAGCTAGAGGCATAACCCACTCCCTGCTCCACTCCAGACTTCCGACAACACTACAGAGCTACAGTAATTAAAACAGTGTGGTATTGGCACAAAAAAAGACATATGGACCAATGGAACAGAATAGAGAGCCCAGAAATAAACCCACAGACTTACGGCCAATTAATCTTTGACAAAGGAGGCAAGAATAGACAACGGAGAAAAGACAGTCTCTTCAGCAAGTGCTGTTGGGAAAACTGGACAGGTGCATGTCAATCAGTGAATTTAGAACACTCCTTCACTCCATACACAAAAATAAACTCAAAATGCCTAAAGACTTAAACATAAGACAAGACACTCTGAACCTCCTAGAAGAAAACACAGGCAAAACATTTTCTGACATAAATTTTAGCAACGTTCTCCTAGGGCTGTCTACCCAGGTGATAGAAATAAAAGCAAAAATAAACAAATGGGACCTAATTAAACTTATGATAACTTAGGGAATTATATTCAATATCTTATAACAACCTATAATGGAAAATAATCTGAAACATATATAATTGAATCACCTTGCAGTACACCTGAGACTAACACAATTTTGTATTAACTACATTTCAATTTAAAAGAAAAAAGACATTTCCCTTTATTTGCTTCATTTTCACTCGTTTCATGATTTTGTGATGATTATGATGCTAGAAAGGTACAATCACTATTTACTTAGCATTTATTTTGTTCGACTTTTTTTTTTAATATTTACAACTACCTTTGGAGGTTAGACATTACTTTTCTCATTTGTAAAATGGAGATAGTAAAGTCCAAATGATCATGGGGTTGCCCAAGGTCACACAGCCAATTAACCTCAGAACTTGGATTTCGATTCACGTCAGTGTGGCAGGAAGCCCGCCCTCTCCTGGACGAGAGGGTCACACCCCAGCATGTGGCTCCATCTACAGAGCCTTCACTAAGTGCCAGCACTGGGCCCAGCCCTCTAGCCAAATTTTTTTTTATTATTCAAAACACACTGACAAGGTGAGTGTAATTATTCCCATTTTACCACAAGGGAACTGAACATACCAGTATCTTGATTTAGTTTACAGAGCTAGGAAGCGCAGAGTTGCAATGTAAATTTTCGCCATCAACTTCAAAGCCCACCGCACAGGGCACCTGGCCTAGAAAATATTCTAGTTAATGGAGAGGAGAGTCCTCCCTGCCCCCCAGCAACAGTGCGACAGTAATATTTTCAACAGTGACAAAAAAGTGATATATTTGTCAAGTTAAGAATCTTGTAAGTTACATCCCTAAGTCCCAGTCCTTCATAAGCTTGTAGAACACATAGAACGCGGGAACTCTTAGATACTGAAAGAAAGGCCTGCATTGTCTGCTTTTCTTTTTAGTCTCTGAACCATAGCAAAAAGTTTCTCAGTTTTAAAATGAAAACTATTATCTAATTAGTCTTGACTCTAAGCCAAACTCTCATTACCAGTCCCTTCCATAACTAGTTACCTAATTCTTCTTTGAGGAAAACCCCTCAACTATTCCAGTCTAGATTCTTCAAACTCTTAGTTTATCAAGTAGACTAATAACGTAACTAGAGCTAAATGGAAATAAATGCCCAACACGGTACTGGGTACTGAGTACTGATGGAATGAGGAAATAAGCCACAGACGAAACATCAAGTTGTTCATGCAATTTATATAATTTTAAAATTTTTATATAATTTCAAACTTACAGAAAATTTGCAAAAGCGGTACAAGAAAAATTCCTACATACCTGTACCCAAATTGGCTACTTATTAACATTTTGCCCCCTTTTATCATCAATGTAATTTTATAAATATGATGGTGTATAGTAAAATGATTTAATAGCAACTATAATCTATCAATATTTTTTAAATCTATCAAAATTTTCAAACTCAAGCTAAAGGGAACACCACTTTGCTACAAGTCCAAACCTAACTGCAGTCTTGAACTGCAAAGCTCACTGGATTCAACCAGATCTGAAGCCCATACATAATTATGGGTGATAATCTATGTCAGGACACCCAAAAGTTTCCCAGGTGACCACAGTGACATCGATTTCAGCATGAACTTAATTTTCAAATGAGAATCACTCTAATGGTCTTTGAAAAAGGTTGTTATTGTTAAAACAATAACAGCATTTTATTTTTAAAACTCACAAATGAAAAAGATTCCTAACCAAAAAGTAACTGAATGGCAATAATTAACCCCCCCTTTCCAGCAACAATCAATATAGCTACCACCCAGAAATCTCTTTCTGTTGTGACATTTGAACCTCCATTTCCTTTGGAAATAAAAACAAAGCAGTTTCTTTTTGATTATTTGGTATTTCTCAAAGCTAACTACAAGACCCTACAAGACCTCACAACCCTCCACGTTTGATGCCACAGATATTGCAATGGTCATGTACCTGTGATTTCCCTTGAAGGACTGAGTGTGTATAGGACCTCCTCTTGGGGGTAGGAGAGGCTGTGGAGTTATAACTGGTTCATGTGGTGCAAAAACTGTCAGGGGAAGGGCTAAAACCACAGCGCTGGTGCAGACTGGCCCACACCTAGGCACAACCTTGTGGGAGGACATCACTCGAGTACGCAGCCTTCCCTGGGAGAAGGCACTGTAACAAATCTTCCCTGAGTGTCTCGTCAGACGGCTGGTAGCAGGCGGACACGTTTCCTGGCTTCTTCAACCTGATTCTGCTTGCCTTCAGCTCCCGAAAACACAACCTGGATTCCCTCAGTAAATATCGGTGAGCGAAGTCACATGAAAAGATCGCTCCAGTTCACTCTTGCTGGTGGGTTCCCAAGGGTAAAATAATACTGTCCGTGTCTTCTCAGTCAGGAGGAAACCATTGTCACTGAATCTCCCCGCGATGCTCCCTACATCCAACCACACAAAGGGAGCAACTGCCGAGGTTGCCAGATCAAAAACAAAGGTGTCCCTTCGCTGAGAGATGACGGCCTGAAAGAAAAAGATAGGTGAAGTGGAGGAGGGCAGAGCTCCCAGTGCTACATACAGCCCCAAGCAGAGCAGCCATGTGGCCAGACCAGGAATGCACCTCCTACAGCTCTGGTTCTGCAACGGCTGGTCACATATCCCACGCACCGGGTCAGATACTGAAAAAAAATATGTGGACACTGATTGAAAATTGTGGAAAATTACCAAACTGTAATCTCAAAGCAAGGGTGGAAATATGCAGTCCCCAATTATTAAGGAGAATATTTCACAAGAAGCTCCAAGCTCGGTATCTTTTACAGTTTTGTATCTTTTCCTCAGGGTCTCATCAAGAGGGGCCCATTTTTGCCCGAGGGCCGGGCGGTTAAAGTGACTTTCTCAGGATATGTCTGGAGCAGGTTGCAGAGCGCAGCCACAGAGTGCACGCACCTTCTGGTCTTCTGAGGAGACCCCGTAATCCCCACAGCAGGCGGCCAGGCACCTACAAAAGCCCTACCGCTAGAGCTTAGTCTCTTGCTGCATAATCGTAATCGGCAAAGTCACAGTATTAGCGCTTTTAACATGTGTGAATCCCACACGCTATCAGCCAAGGAGAGTGCAGTTAAAGTCTTGTCATCAGCAGACAGCACTGGCCAAGAGTGAGGCAGAGCCGTACCCTAGAGGGTGGGGGTTTGGGAGCCTTTCTCACTGTGAGAACACAGCTGAGTGGGGCCTGGTATTAAAGTGGGTGCATTTGTGGGAGAGGTGTAGCTCAGTGGTAGAGCACATGCTTAGCACTCACGAGGTACTGGGTTCAATCCCCAGCACCTCCATTTAAAAAAAAAAAATCTGTGCATCTGTCACGAAACATGACTCTTCAACAGGCATACATGCCATAGTTTTGACATTGTAGGTTATATGTGACAAAGAATTTCCAAGGGCAATTGTTACTATATACAGCTTAGCCTTACACATCATGCAGGGTTCAGAGTTATGAATAAAACCTACTTTGATAGAAGCAGGAAAAATGTGATCAAGGGTCAGAGATGCAGGCTTGAAGCTGGATGTCAAATTCCCAAATCATGCCAGCCACCTAATCCGATGAAGCCCCTTCACAGCTGCAGGCACACAGCCATCCACCAAGGCTGCCGGGGCCTCGGCTACTCTGTCCCAAGGCCAGGGCCACAAGGGTCACTGGCTCACTCTTGTGCTGCCTTCTTCTGATTGGAAATCTCATCTCTGCGTATCTGACTGCAGAGCCCAGAGCTCAAGCTTGCACCCTAGTTTCAAGGGAGACAGGGAAAAACAAGTTCCCAGCACCCCCCGGGAATACCACCTCCGAGCTTCGCCCATGTTAAGCCTGCGATGATGTTAACCATCAAAGCCTCCTTAAAATCCAGATGAGGTAGGACAAACGAAGAAGTCCTACTCCTCTCCCACCCTCCGCTGTCTCAGGTAAGGGAGGCCTAGATAAAGAAAGAAAAAGATTTCAAAGTCCTAAGTCTACAGTCTAGATGGTTCTGTGCTCTTTCCAGGATAGAAGCTATGTAAATGTACATGCAATTTCCTTCATAACTGCTCTACATCAGTTGTTACGGGTAAGTTAGATTTCGTTACGTGAATATTTTCATTGTTAACTGGGAAGGAAGATACGATTTCAATTCAAGGGCTAAGTTTTTATGGGATTATTTCTAAAGCAAATGTAAAAAAAAATCCTCTCACTTAAGTCTTTTCAATGAAGTCAAAGTCTAAAACAAACTTAAAATTCATTAAAAATAGAGAATGAAATTTTCTAGAAAAATATTTTCAGTCACTACGTGGCGGAGGGGAGGGAAGGAAAAGTTTCCAGTCAACTAGACAGACGCCAAATTCTCCGCCTGCACTGTTTTTGTAGCAGCATCCTATCCTGATCATCCCATTTTTTTCTTGGCAATGATAGAGATGTGGTGACTAAGCAACTGAGAAGCAATAAATCAAAGAGCAGCGTGAAAATTTTTTAAATTAATAGACTCTTAAAAAGCAAAATTAAGAGTTTCTACTGGGCTCCAATGCTTCCTGGCTACGGACTTTGAACACTTTACTCAGCCCCTCCAAACAAGTTTGCTGACTCGTCAACACAGATGGTAACACCTTAGGGTTGATGCAGGACAGAGCCTGGAACCCCGCGGAGGAACCATCAGTGGTGATGACCCTGGCCGCCTCTCCCTGCACTGCACCAGCCTGACTAGGGAGGGGTGACGGGACAGCAGCACGGGCAGGAACCTTGAACTCAGACAAATGCTGAACTAGCAATAAAAATCACTTGGTCTTTGTTTCCAGTGGAAAGGGGCCAATCTTCCCCAGGTCAACTCAGTATCAAGGGGAAATTCTGCAAAAAGCAGGATGCAGCGTGCTTGCCCCAGAAGTAGGACAGCCCCACAAGGCCACGGTGAGCCCAGACCACCGGTGCTTACAGTGATGTGTGCCTTTTGGAGCCCCTCGGCCTCCTTCAGTGAGGACAGGAAGTGATGGTTGGTTGGGCTCAAGGGTTTGCTGCCAGTTGACAGGTAAAAGGAAACCACGCAGCTTCGCCTTGTACAACTACATCTTCTCAGCATCTCAGGCACTGGCTCCTTATAGATGAGAGCAGACCCCCCTGCTTTCACCACAAAACCCTTAGTGGCCTCAGAGCACACGGGCTCCAGAGAACTCCACGTGTGGACCCTCACCTGGGGAGAAACAAGACAGAACAAAACCAAACACCTTTTCTTAAGAGAATAAAAGCAGTAATAACAGATGAAAATCAGGATCGCAGAACTGGTTAAGAGACTGAAACTTGGCTTTAACCTCAGCCCCACCAAGTACTAGTCGTGTAACTAAGCAAGTTAACTCGACTTCTCTAAGTCTTCATTCTTCATGTGTAAAATTAGGAAAATAACTGCACTAACTTCACACGCTGTTGTCAGAATTAAGTAAAATAATCTATGGAAGGCACAGGACCTGGTGCATTGTAACGAATCCATAACCTTTAGCTAGTCTCAGTGTCCTCCGAACTGCAGCCACCCAAGCCTTCTTTGAGTTTCTATCCTTTTATCCTCTTTTTAAAACATTGTTTTAAATACAAGTTCATTTTTTCACCTATACATTCTGAATAATTTTACTGATTTCCACTTTAAACTACTGTTTTAAATGACTCTTTACAAAGCTTAGGCTATTTCCAGCTTCTCCTGATTATAAATAGCCTTAGATTTAAATGGCATTTTGCAGTTTATAATTCACATTCATCTAATTATTTTATTCACTATTCATAGAAATCCTTTCAGAAAGACTGATATCATTTTTATAGATGAGGAAACTGAACCAAGACATTAAAGTCATAGAATAAATTGCAGAATTTTGCTCTGAATATAGGTTTTCCGATGCCAAGAACAGCCCATTTTCCGCTATAGGCACTAGAAACATTGATACAAATTCATTTCTCTTTTCTTGTTTCCAAAACAAAAACAAACAAACCAAATAACTAAAGGAATCTCAAATTCTCCCTCATTCATAGGGAGAAAATAATCCAGGCAACTTACAGTGAGTGTCACGTTACAGTCTGAGTGAAGGTCTGACACACCGTAGATGAAAAACACATCATTATTCTCAAAACCCACCGGCAACAGTGGAGCGAAGAAATGCTGAGCAAAGTAATGAAGCATTTTCCACTTTCCTCCGTATTCTAGGAAGAGGTTAGGAGATGGGCGGTCAGGCAGGCAGAGTCACCGTCCACATGGGCCAGCTGTGTGACTTGTCATAATTCTGGGCACCGAGCACAGGAGGGACAGCCCACAGCGGAGGGAACCCATGTTCGCGAGGAGCATTTTGGACATTACCTCATGTCAGCCTCAATTTGGGGGAGGCGGGCAGGAACGTCTCACTTTTCAAATGAGGAAATGGAGGCTCACGCAGTTAAGTGAAATGCCACAGGCAGTATTTTGAGCCCAGACCTGACTCCTAGCTAGCACCTTCTCACATGCAATTCAGCTTCTGGGGGCCCAATGCACCCATGTTCCTTTTTCCTTTTTGCTAGAAGGAAATCAGCATTATGGGCAGCGAACATCTGTTACAAATATCCACTTATAACAGTTACTCAGGGAAATTATTATTATAGAGCCCAGCCAAGTTGGTGGAGTAGGAAGACCCTGAGCTCACCTCCTCTCATGAGCACACCAAAATTACAACTATTTGCAGAGCAACTGTTTATGAGAAAGACCAACATCTAGCAGAAAAGATCTTTTGCAACTAAAGATATAAAGAAGGAGCCATAACAAGATGAGAGGAGAGGCAGAGTCACGTGTAGTCAGTCAAGACCCATATCCCTGGTGGCGACCCATGAATGGGAAAATAGCTAGAACTGCAGAGGTACAAGGAGCGAGGGGTCTGATCCCCATCCTGGACTCCTCATCCCAGGGGTCCTGCACTGAGAAGATGAGCCCCCAGAATGTCTGACTTTGAAGGCCTGCAGGGCTTACTTTCTGGAGTCCTAGAGGGCTGGGGGAAATAAATTCCACTCCTAAAGGGCACAAAATCTCACACACTTGGGGACCCAGGGCAGAAGCAGTAATTTGAAGGAGCCTGGGTCAGACTGACCTGCTGATCTTGGAAAGCCTCCCAAAGAGGGAGGAAGCAACTGGAGATCACCCTGGGGATATAGACAGTGGCAATGCTGGAATGCTCCCTCTAGCTAATTAACACCAGGACCCCACCCCACCCACCAGCCTGTCCACACCAGTAGTGGGACACTCAGGCCAAGAAACTAGCTGGACAGCGACAAAGCCCCAACTACCAGAAACAGACTGCCTTAAGACCGCCTGAGCCCAAGGCACCTCAGGACACAGCCCTGTCCACCAAAGGGCCCAGGGCCTGGCGCCACACAACAGTGCATAAGCACTAGCCCAGGATCCCCTGGGCACCAGCCACCCACCAACGGGCAGACACCAGCCCCAGGATCACTGCAACCCTGCGCCTGCCTTGTCAGGACACAGCCAGAACACCAGCAGACTGGCACCAGCCCCGGGACCCTTCAGGCCCCAGCCCCACCCACCAGCAGACCAACACCAGCTCCAAGAAACCTTGAATGTCTCAGCCAGCTGCCCTGGGATTAAGCCCCACTCACCAAAGAGGCAGTACCAGGTTTAGGATACCCCCAGATCCTGCAGCCAGGCAGCCAGCCATGTCAGGAACTGGCCCTACCCATTAGCAGGCCAGTATTAGATCCAGGAACCCCAGTCCTGCAACCACCCACCCTAGAACCGAGCTCTGCTCACCAGTGAGCCAGCAGTAGCCCTGGGACCCCCAGGGTTCTGAAACCAGCAGCCTCATGACCCAGCCCCATCAATCAGTGGCCAGTAGGCCACCTACAGGCAGAGCCCAGCAACCAACTGGCTGAGTGCCAGCCATGCCTACCAGACCACTGATGGTAGCCAGCCCACCACACAGAAGGACCTATGCAGCCCACATCAGGGCACACCCCTAGAGCATACAGCTCTGGTGACCAGAGGGGAGTGTGCTGCTGAGATGCATAGAACATCTTCTAAAAGGGGCACTTCTCCAAGGTCAGGAAATATAACCAACCTACCAGATACATAGAAATAAAAAGAGCAAGTTAGGCAAAATGAGGCAACAGAGGGTATGTTCCAAACAAAGGAAGGAGATAAAGCCTCAGAAGAGCTAAGTGAAGTGGAGATAGGCCATCTACCCAAGAAAGAGTTCAAGGTAATGATCATAAAGATGATCAAAGAACTCAGGAGAAAGAATGGATGACTACAGTGAGAAGTTTAACAAAGAGAAGATATAAAGAAGAACTAAACAGATGGAACGTACAACTGAAGTGAAAAATACACTAGAAGAAATCAACCGTAGATTAAATGATAAAGAAATGGATCAGGGAGATGGATGAAAAAGGAATGAAAAGAAAACAGGACAGTTTAAGAGACCTCTAGGACAACAAGTGTACTAGCATTTGCATTAGAGGAGAAGAAAGAGAAAAAGGCAGGGAACATATTTGAAGACACAATAGCTGAAAACGTCCCTAACCTGGGAAAGGAAACAACCAGGTCCTAGAACACAGACAGTTCCAAACACAGATCAAGCCAAAGAGGTCCTCACCAAGATACACTGTAATTAAAGTGGCAAAAATTGAAAAGAATATTAAAAGGTAAGGGAAAAGCAGCACATGATAAGGGCACTCCATAAGGCCATCAGCTGACTTTTCAGCAGCTCTGCAGGCCAGATGGGAGTGACGTGGTAAATTTAAAGTGATGAAAGGGAAAAACCTGTAAACAAAAATACTCTACTTAGCATGCCTTTCATTGAGATTTGATGGAGAGTTAAAAGTTTTACAGACAAAGCCTAAAAGAATTGGGCACCACCAAACCAGCTTTACAAGAAATGGTAAAGAGACTTCTCTAAGTGAAAAAGAAAAGGCTACAAATAGAAACATGAAAATTATGAAAGGAAAAAGCTCTTTGGTACAGGCAAACACAAAGTAATAACAACCATGTACAAAGCCAGTAGGAAAGTTAAAAAATAAAAGTAGTAAAGTCATCTATATCCACAACAATTAGTTAAGGGATATACAAAAAGGTATAAAATATGGTAACAAAAACAGTAATCATGGTGAGAGTGGGAGAGTAAAAATGCAGGGTTGTTAAAATCCACTTGAAATTAAGAGATCAGCAACTTAATCGTGTATTATGTTATATTATATAGATTGCTATATATAAATTTCATGGTAACCACAAAGCAAAAATCTACAATAGATAAATACCAAATAAAGGGAAAGGAATCCAAACACTAAAAATAGTCATCAAATCAAAACGGAAGAGAACAAAAGACAGGAACAAAGAGAGCTACAAAAACAAACCCCTCGCCAAATTAACAAATTGGAAGTACATATCTATCAATAATTACTTTAAAAGTAAATGGACTAAATGTTCCAATCAAAAGATACAGAGTGGCTGAATGGATACAAAAACAAGATCCATATATATGCCATCTATAAGAGACTTCAGATCTACAGACACACACAGACTACAAAGTGAGGAGATGAAAAAAGGTATTCCACACAAATGGAAGTCAAAAAAAGCCAGGGAAGTAATATTTATGTCAGGCAAAATAGACTTTAAAAAAACCTGTTACAAGAGACAAAGAAGGACATTATATAACAAGAAATCAATCCAAGAATATATAACAAATGTAAACAGCTATGCACCCAGCATAGGAGTATTATTACATACATAAAGCGAGTATCAACAGACATAAAGGGAGAAATTGACAATAACACAGTAAGAGTAGGGACTTTAACATCTCACTTACATCAATGGACAGATTATTGAGACAGAAAATCAATAAGGAAACATCAGCTTTAAATAACACATTAGACCAAATGGACTTAACATATATACAGAACATTCCATCCCAAAGCAGCATAATACATTCTTTTCAAGCATAAATGGAACATTCTCTAGTAGTAGTTTGGTGCAGCCACTATGGAAAACAGGATGGAGGTTCCTCAAAAAACTAAAAATAGAACTACCATATGATCCAGCAATCCCACTCCTGGCTACACATCCAAAGAAAATGAAAACACTAATTTGGAAAGACACATAAACTCCAATGTTCTTAGAAGCATTATTTACAACAGCCAAGCTATAGAAGCAACCTAAGTGTCCATCAACCCATGAACGGATAAAGAAGATGTGGTATATATACATGATGGAATATTACTCAGCCATAAAAAAGAATGAAATAATGCCATTTGCAACAACATGGATGGAGCTGGGGGGTATTATGTTTAGTGAAATAAGTCAGACAGAAAGATAAATACTGTATGTTATCGCTTGTATGTGTAGTTGGAAAAATAAATGAGTGAATAGAACAGAAAGACTCACAGATATAGAGAACTAGCGGTTACTAGTGGGGGCGGGGCAAGATAGGGATAAAAGACTAAGAGGTACAAATGACTATGCATAAAATAAGCTACAAGGATATATTGTACAGCACAGGGGATATAGCCAATATTTTATAACTTTCAATGGAGTATAGTCTATAAAAAATTTGAATTACTATATTGTACACCAGAAGCTAAGTATAAACCAACTATACAATAAAAAAGAGATAAATTAAATTTTTTCAAAACACAGCTAGTTAGAACTCAAAGTCCCCTTTTCCCATAGGCACAAAATCCTCTGAGCCAGAACAAAACTACCACTATCACAACATGGCTGGCAAGTTCAGTCTGGAGAGCATCCAAACCCAAGACAGTTAATGACAGGTCCTCAAACAGAGCTGGAAGCTGTCGAGGACCTATAGAATCCTGCCGCCTGTCGGCATGTCTAGTATGCGAGATGCACAAACTAAAAAATATTTCAACATGCCTCTATTTCAGAAACAGATCCTTCTCCATAAAACAGTGCACCGCCAAACAACTTGAGAGGGAGGGGGAGAGAGAGGATAGGGGAAGTGCTTTCAGCCTTCACCAGCGCAAGCTGTTAAGATTGAGGAACATGGTTTTGAGGTTCAGCTAGGACTAATTTCTTTAGGTTTTGCAAAATTTCAACTCTCTAGTACTTCAGTTCAATTCCAACTCTTAGTATTTCCCCTTAAAAGTAACAATGGTGGGGGAAGGGAGGAGAGGCCTTTCCAATTAGATCTATGAAAAGAATGAGAACTTATATTTGCAAAGTTTTCTCATAAATGGAAGATGGCTCAGACCTGAGGTAATTTACACACTCTCCAGTGTGACATCCATCACAAGGGAAAGGCTTCAGCAATCAAGGCCACAAACAGAAGACACTCAGGAGAACAATAATCGAAGCAAAATGTCTCAGTGATACACACCCTAGTTACTAATCAGTGACAAAGTCTGGATGCCAACAAAACAGTCTGCAGAACCGTGAAAATACTACATGATTTCTGGCTTTGCCATTAGCTCTGTATCCGTTCAAGTTTATAAGCCAAGCAAAACGCCCAGGTAGATTTTCAAGATACAACTATAAATGAGACAGATTTTTTAAAAAGAAATAAGAATCTGTAGATTCCAGGCAGCTACTGATCCCTTTCAAGTGTCACCATTTGATAAGAGGTGACACACCTCCTCTCCACCTGCACACACAAGCCAATTAGGCAGAATTAAACAGAGGCTCTGAGGCTCCCGAGAGCAGGAGCAAATATAACACAACTTGTCACAGCTTTTCCCTGGCACTTGTTTTTCTAACAGGTCCAGGAGAGGGTGACCCTCTCCATGAACACATTCTTCTGCTAGAGTTTAGGAAACAGACACATTCTTGCTCTGCCCTCATACTCTGGTACCCTTTCTGAAGAACACAGATTGGGTCATTTAAGGCAACAGTTACAAATGCTGGGCTCTCCTGTTTCTTGAACCAAAGGCAGTTTCAGAAGTCCACAACCTCATCCACAGACAGAAAGCCGGCTCAGACTCTTAGTGTCTCTGAACATCTCCTTGTCCAGCTTAAGCGTCCCAGAAAGGCCACTGCCCCACAGTTCACCCCCGATTCTCATTCAATACCCTTTCATCTGGTTGGCGCCGATAAAGAGTTTGATCAGGCAAACCTGATCAAGACTAGAGTTCCCTGCAGGAGGTGATCAGCCCTAATGAAAGCATGAGGGCAACGAGCCCCGTGGCTCTGCATTCAGCTTGTTTAACAGCCTCTCTCAGCAAAACGGCCTTGCCTCATTTTTGACCCAAAACTTTGGTTCATATTATGAACTGAACTTGGCTTCAAATCACCCATAGTGATGGCCAACGATTCATTACTCCTCCTTAATTTTTCAAATAGATGGAATAATTCAAACTACAGGTACCATGCCAGTCACCCTACCTGTTGCTCATTGAATGGGTTCAACTGATAACCCTTCCTGCTTGGATTTCTGTCTCTACTCCCTTTCCCCACAAGAGATAAAAAGGGCAAAATAAAAGTGACCTTATCGACTTGAAGGGGAGTCAGCAAAGGGACATTTTTAACACTTAGCTGGACCCACCTTTCACTTGGTTGAATTCTCCTAAACAGAAAAAGGGGTGCTGGGGGAGAAGGGTATAGCTCAGTGGTGGAGTGCATGCCTTGCATGCATGAGGTCTGGGGTTCAATCCCCCATACCTCCATTTAAAATATAAATACACCTAATTACCTCCCACCACTAAAGAGGTACTTATGTAAATGCTCCTTTTGCCCTGGAAAGTCCTCTTCAAAATTCTAAGGAACAGTTAGTAGATACAGGGCTGAGATCTTCGTGCATGAAACTTTCCCTGCATTCGCTTGCTTTTGTAACTGCACAGCACAGAACTCGTGAGGTTCCTAGAAAAAGCGAAGGTGGCTGGGGTAGCGGCAGGTCCTAGCCAGAGAGCCTCCTCTCCCCGGAGCTCTGCTTGGGTTGATCCGACCCCTCCAGCTCTGTGCTCTCTCAGTGCCCCTCCCCACAGGTACTGCCTTCTCTCACCCACACAAGAATGCTGAAACACTTACCTAGAGAAGACCAGGAAGGAGCCTGCCAGATGTCATTCAACTGCCAATAAAGGGCCCCCATGGTGTGCCCTTCTCCATCCACTATCTCGCTGCGACTGCGCCGGTAGAGTTCAGTTTCTGTTTTGACACACTGGGCCTGCATCACCTGATTCAAGGGAGACATCAGAACACAGGTGTTTTTGTTTGAGGTGAGGCTGTTTATATCTGAGAAAAATACAGGCTTGAGGGATTTTTTTTAATCAAATTGAATAAATAAGGGAATTTAATTAGTAGCATGCATACCATTATTATACTAGATCTGAAACTAACCCCTGAGCATGAGAAAGTGTTTGTAACAGCTGGGCTTGGGGGAGGCTTGGTGTCTCGTTTATTCTAACAATGGGTAATCACAGAAATAGGATGGAGTAAAAGGTTCTTTGATGGCGTAGGCAATGACTGAAAACAAAGACTGATTGCAGAACAAAAGCTATATGTACTCAAACACTTAGTCCTTGGCAGTGTTGGGTTTGACTACTGTGTTCACAGATGTTAAGGAAATGTTTTATTAGAAAAAATCTATAGGAAAAGAACATCATGACTCTGATATTGTCAAATCCCTAACCCCTTTTCCCTAGTCAAGCAATTGTTTTTATATCATGACTTATGATAGCATGACTTTTGATAATGTAACATTTCTTATGAATGCAATTCCTTCCTTATAGCAGGGCAGATGGTAAATTGCAGCAGAGAGACAAGTAAATTTAGTTCTTGTTTCAGAGGCACAAAAGAACTTCATGCAGGACCCTTAATTACTGTCATCATCACTGAAAAATCAGCCTCCTTTATTGCTGCTGCTACTGACACTGTGGGCATCGCATGCTCTCAGCTCGGAGCTGTAGTTAGAAGAGGCTCACAAATAAGGGGTCATTGGGCTCATCAGGAGAGATCACCAAAAAGAACCTGGAGAGGTGATCCCAGCTGTAAGGAATCCCCAGTCAGAAAAAAAAATAGGCTTAGAGTAGGGCCTGGATTTTCACAAAGGAGGAAAAAGAAGTCTGCGGACGTGGCCACAGAGACTAAGCCCAGGTGCTTTCCTGTAAAGCTAGAAAATCCCCAATGAAGGCAGAACCTTTAGACAGAGAAGGGCTGGCTACTGAGCAAATCACAGATGAAGTCACGGCTTACATGAGGCAGAGCTGTAAAGCCCTGGAAGGGTCAGGCAAGAAGAAATCACAACCATTCCATAAATACTAAGTGCCCACATGTGTGTTGCATGCTTGTAATGGTTGAGCCCCACTCCCAGCAAAAAAAAAAAAAAAGACAGCCCACCCTCGTGGAGCTTACTGGCTTGTGTAGAAGACAGGCCTTAATCAAAGAATCATCACACAAATATATGTAAATTTTAAACAGTGAAAACTGCTAAGAAGGAGAGGTGCTCAAGGTTAGGAGCTGGATAGCACGGGAAATGGGCTTAGCTGAGGGGTGAGGAATGGCCGCAAAGTAGAGGACAGAGAAAAAGAGAGGGCAGAACCTTGCAGCCAGAGAGGATGGCGTGTGGTGAGAGGAGGGCGCACAGCGGAGAACTGAAAGAAGGCCAACGGGGCCTGAGCTCAGAAACGCAGCAGCAAAGGAAGCAAGGCTGGTGGGAAGCAGGGGCCGACCTGGGAAGGTTTGGGATGCAGCCTAAAGGCAACTGGAAGTCACGGAGAGCTTTTCAGCGAAAGGCAGAAGTGGCCAGATTTGCATTTCCAACAGGCGACTCTGACCACGAAAAGGAGTCAGGGGCTAGAGTGGATTTACGAAGGCCACTTAGAAAGCTCTTACCATCTTCCAACAAATAGACGACGCCAGCTGTGAGCAGGTAAAGAAATGCCTTTCTCTTTCAGACACCAGACCACTGGGACCATAGCGGTGATGATAGGCAAAAAACACTCAAAAGACGGTCACAGAGCAGCCAGGGCACCAACCCGAAACGACCACAGGACACTATCTGAATATATTAGTCTAACAAACACTGAGTCAGAGGGAATAACATAGAAAAATAGGCCTAAAAACTATGATCTACGACAGTCAAGTTAGTCTGCGACTATGAGATGGGCTGGGACCTGGGACCCTTTACCAGAGTCCCTGTACCTAGACAAACATCTCCTTGAGCAACAGAATACAAAGAAATTACAAGAGACTGAAAATAACTGCACTCTAGCACAGTTGGGGCAATTACGAACAAAGATACAAAAAGGCTACAAACCAACAGCCGTGTCTGAGGTGCCAGCAGCACAAGCAGGGCACTGCACGTCACCCCTGCACACAGCACCACCACCTAAGTTGTACCTCCTGCCCGACTCACTGACCCGCCCCCACCCTCGCCCCATTTAAGGAAGCACCTGGCCCCACCCCCTCGGGGAGTGAGCAAAGGCACCCGTTTCTTGTTTTCACTCCCTCAGCTGCAGCACTAGTCCCAGTAAAGCCTTGCCTGAATTTCTCCTCTGGCTTCTTATCAATTTCTATCGATTAAAGAATCCAAGGACCCGGGTCAGTAACAATTAGACCCAGGATTTCTAACCACTTTCCTTATAAACATACCAGTCTTGTCTGAACTAAACTAAACAAGAAAGAGATTTATCTACTTCTAGGCCTGGGCAGCTAGGCACAGAGAAATCAAGCCCCTTGACGAAGCGTTCACGTGTTTGCTGAGTTTACTGCACCAAATCAGTGCTGCAGAGCAGCTTTTGGAAAGTTCAGGGAAAACGAAGCAGCCAAGTGAAATCTCAGCGGAAACAGATCTGAAGGCAGCACCGATTATCAATCCATGCCCAACAGAGATTGCACCTCACATCAGCATGAAACCTTTCTGTTTCTTTTAAGAATCTGATAACACCTGAACTTATTTAAATCACCTGAGCTTCCAAACAATGCTCCCACCAACAGAGCTAAAACTGACCTGTGGGCACAAAATCAAGCCAGCTCCAGTCCCCGCGCCTGCAGCACGCCCCCAAGGCACTGAACGACAAGAAGTCTCTGTTCTCAGGCTGAGACTCTTGAAAAATCAGCCATGGCCTTATGGACTGTGTGTGAAGGGATCTCAAAGGAAAAGATGGGGAAGCCCTCATCGCACCAACGAGGAACAACATGGGGAGAGGCATTCTGGTCACCAGACATTCCAGAAGCTGCTGGCCCAGCCCTCACAGGCCAAGCAATGCTCACTGAACGGCAAACACCATGGACACTCCACTGTGGGTGCTGACCCACAGTTCTGGAACTCCCAGGACCCGCAGTAGCTCCGAGTCTGGGCCACTCCTGATACACCAAAGAAGCCAAAGAACCTGCAGCATTCTGCTGTGGGACTCGGTTCAGCGTGGACTCGGGAGGGGAACTGAGGGAGGGACATCACTCAGGACATTTGGGCCTCGAATCACTTTCCTTGGACTCAGATTTATAAAATAGGGTGAATAGGAGAAAAGTAAAAAACAGAATTTTGAGGTGAGAAACAAAGTATCAGTGTCTACCCGAGGAGGAAATTAAGTCATCTCTTTCAGGCAACAATGAAAGCGTCCAGGGCAAAGCCATACCTACTGAACCAGTCATGCTCGTGCCGACTGGGTCTTATCCAAAGGACGACTAGGTGTTTTACAGACTGCCTTGGTAGAGGTGGCCTGTGTTTTCTTCACGGTGAATTTAAGTGTCTTTTCAGAGGAAAAACATCTGATGAGCAGCAGACTATTTACAATGCTCCAAATTCTTTCCAATTCTTTATGTTAACATATATTGTAACTCACAGAGATTTTTTTAATTTTTTGTTATTGAATTGCAGTTGACTTACAATGTTGTATTAGGTTCAAGTGTGCAGTAAAGTGATTCAGTTATACATATATAAATATATTCTTTTTCAGATTCCTTTCTATTTTAAATTATTACAAAGTATTGAATATAGTTCCCTGTGCTATACAGTAGGTCCTTGTTGATTCTCTATTTCATATATAGTAGTGTGTATATGTTAATCCCAAACTCCTAAGTTATCCCCAACTCCTTTCCACTTTGGTACCCACAGTTTGTTTTCTCTGTCTGTGAGTCTATTTCTGGTTTGTAAATAAATCCATTTGTATCTTTTTTTTAGATTTCACATATAAGTGATATCATATGATGTTTGTCTTTGTCTGACTTAACTTCACTTAATATGATAATCTCTAGGTCCATCCATATTGCTGCAAATGGCATTATTTCATTTTTATGGCTGAGTAATATTCCATCATATGTATACACCACATTTTCCTTATCCATTTATCTGTTGATGGACATTTAGGTTGTTTCTGTGTCTTGGCTATTGTAAATAGTGCTGCTGTGAACATTGGGGAGCATGTATGTTTTCAAATTAGAGTTTTCATCTTTTCTGGGTATATGCCCAGGAGTAGGATTGCTGGATTATATGTAACTCTATTTTAGTTTTTTAAGGAACCTCCGTACTGTTCTCCATAGTGGCTGCACCAATTTACATTCCTACCAACAGTGTAGGAGGGTTCCCTTTTCTCACACCCTCTCCAGCTTTCATTACTTGTAGATTTTTTAATGATGGCCATTCTGACTGGTGTGAGGTGATACCTCATTGTAGTTTTGATTTGCCTTTCTCTAATAATTAGCAATATTTAGCATCCTTTCATGGGCCTGGTGGCCATCTGGATGTCTTATTTGGAGAAATGTCTGTTTAGGTCTTCTGCCCATTTTTTGATTGATTTGCTTGGTTTTTTTGAGATTAAGCTGTATGAGCTGTTTGTATATTTTGGAAATTAATCCCTTGTCAGTAACATCATTTGCAAATATTTTCTCCCATTCTGGAGGTTGTCTTTTTGTTTTATTTGTGGTTTCCTTTGCTGTGCAGAAGCTTTTAAGTTTATTCAGGTCTTATTTACTTATTTTTGCTTTCGTCTCCATAACTCTAGCAGACAGGTCAAAAAATATATATGGCTGTGGTTTATGTCAAAGAGTGTTCTGCCCATGTTTTCCTCTAGGAATTTTAGAGTATCCAGTCTTACATTTAGGTCTTTAATCCATTTTGAATTTATTTTTATATAAGTCATATAAAGTTATAATTTTGTATTCTGTGCTCACTTAATTTTCACATATGTACATTTCCATGCAACGTGCCTGCATTTTCTATGTATGTTTTTAATG